CATCCTTTTTTAGGCTGATCTTTTGGAATTGTTCCATTTGGGAAGTTTTAATAATTTGTATAATCGTTCTCTGGACGGCTATACGGCCGAATACATGCTCATCGTTGTGAAAGATCCTGGGTGATCCCCCTTTTCAATTATGCCTTGTGCAATTCAACCATTGCGTTATGCAATTTAACCAATTTAGTGTACGGTATTGTCTAGTAGTGCGGTGCGGTTGCACACGCCGCAATTCCACGACGCCTAATCGAGCTTTTCGCTATTCTCCTACATTCCCATGCTCTCTCCTCCCCGCAGCTGGCAAATGCTAGTGAAACGCTGGCAACAGCTGGCAAATGCTAGTGAAACGCTAGCAAACTTTAGATCGACACCTATACTTTCCTTGCCCTCGTGACGCTGGTAACGCTGGCGAGCGCTAGATAGATATCTCTCTGGAAACGCTGCCGAACGCTAGCGTACGCTGTCGCAAGTATGAAGCCTTAGGAATGAGGTCTGGATGTCTATGTGAACTCAGCTTGAGGGAACTGCGGCTCGTGAAATTATCGATTAAGAAGCTGCTTACACGGCCAGTCCTTACAAAATTCAAGCGTGAAATATGAAACGAATCGCCGATTAGCGAGAAAAATTTGTCCGGATAGTCTGGCCCTATCTTGACAGTGCTGCCCACACAGTAAAAGAAGGTCGAGGCGAGTCTTCTCTTTTTCGAAGTTTAGATTTATTCACATGTGTGTCTATTCATGAAAGAAGATGAGCAATGAGTTCCCAGTACAAATCACGTGTTAGTAACATGGGCCTTTAGATGGCCAGCGCAACACATGAGATACAACAACAGAGTGAAATCAGCGAGCATAGAAATATTGAAGTGCAACGTCTGCTCCGTTCGCCCCCGCCACCTTTCTCCGCCCATCGGATGCAAACTCTTCTTTCGAGTGTCCTGCAGGAACCCTGTGAGCAAGGAGGGAGAGGGGTGACAACTTGAACGTTGGCCGCGGTCCTGCTGCGAAACCAGAGAAGCCTACCGGGACAGTGAAAGGTGTCCCAAGGTGGAAAGTAGTGCCGAGTCACGGCCTGGGATTTTTCAAGGAGAGCGCATCCCTGGGAGGATAGCCGACTTTTCCCACGTAGTAAATTAGCATGTCTGAACTTGTCACGGAGCTTATATAAGCCAGAGGACGCGAGGACAGTTAGCCAGAAAATTGACTAAAGGGATCGCTGAAAGGATTCAACTTTGGTCGACTTGGCCACTTGAACTCACTGCCTTCAATCACTTCAAATTTCTGTATTTTCCGCTTCCTGTCGTCTGCGCAACGTTGTGTGGCCACTGTAATTTGTCACATTCCAGCTTTTCACGCATGGCAAGTGGCTCACACCAGGGCACATCGTTGTTGGGGAATCCCCAACAGGGGGTCGTATTTGGCCGCTAGGAGAGGGGGGGGTCGTATTTGGACAGAGAAAAATTTATTCTGATCGTTGATTTTTCCCGAACGTTGTAAAAGGGGGGGGGTCGTACTTGCTCATCGTTGAGGGGAGGGGGTCGATCGGACTCGACTAAAATCCCCAGCCATGAGTGCCCCTGACTCACATTCTGCAGACTGTTCTGCCGGGTACTAAAATCCCATCCCCTGACTTGCTACGTTTTCTTACTTTTCAGTGCCTTTGCAGCCGCTGTCTGTCTGTCTCTGTCTGCATGCAGGAGTTTCGTAAACGGGATCATGCAGGAAAGGTCAAGTATTTATAATAGTATTCCGCGATAGCTACAAACTGCCACGCAAAACTTTACCGTTAAGTTTTTCGGATAAGGGTTCAGACTCCGTCTACATTTGTGCGGTCAGTCCTCTATTTCTGACGTTGCGACATTCGGGAGGGCAAGTGACAAGTATACCGCGCTAGTGGGGAAACTGCCGCTCCCCAGCGTGCGGGCGAACGCTGCGTCGACGAGGAGTTTTCCTGCCTCCCGTTTGGATTTGAGTCAAAAGAGCATCAAAGCATGGGAAATTCGTTTAGCGCCAATCGTGAATTTGCCGCGCATGGTAGCACGACACGCCGCGCGCGACGAATGACGGTTGTCTTGTCCGTCTCCCATTCGGACTGCCACTGTCAAGGCATCGTGAGGAACAAAAAGCACGATGCGAGTCAGGAGATGAGTTTTTTCGAAGGGAAGGGATATCGGGGTGGATAAGCCACTTTTAATGCACGTGAAAGTGGAATGTGAAAGGTCAAAGTGACCATAAATCGCCATTCAGGCAAGAGAGCGCAGAGAAAAGAAGAAAGTTGGCGCCATTAAAGGGATTGGGTTTTAGCTGTGTCGTAGACCATTCGGGAGGAACCATACGGTCGGCGACAACAGACAAGGTGGGAATCGACTGACCCTGCCCAGCGGCAAATCGCGCGTTCTGCCATGTCGTAGGTCTCAATAGTTCACGTCCAACTCTTCGTCGCCATTTTTTGGAATTCGCGGATTCTCTACATTCGGCACTGTTCACTGTGTGCGACCACAGCAAACTCCGCGTATCGCGAGGTTTTCATACGTATCGATTCCACTGAGTCCGCACCAATGAAGAATGAGCGAGCGGAAGAGGCTGGCGCTCGTGTCGCCGGTTTCCCAGATCGATACATATTGAAACCTTTTCCCGGATACGCTTCATCAGAAGAACTTGAATGCCAAACGAACATTTTCGGACAGCGGAAGAGCGGTCGCGTCGCGGTCTTTGCACTGGGAAGCTGATCTCCCGATTAGGTTCACGATACACGAGACATTCTTAAATGATACAGATGGCGCGAGCTATGAAACCGTGGAACATACTTCAAATTGAGGCAGTTTACAGGACTTTCTTCTAGTTTTCTGGAATCTCAGAAATTCCTACCACAGACACTTCTTTATCCACGTTGTTAACCGTAACGCTAGTTTAACCTCGAATCAAAGGCACAACTGCCGATCCCTCACTGTGGAACACGTTATCACTTGACCCAACTCAGTGCTCTCAGCATTTGATTTCCTAGGGTCCTTTGTTCATCACAGGAGATAAAGATATTTTCGTCGTCATCTTTGCCTTCAGTCCTAAAATGAACTACCGCGCACCTCCTTTGCACACTGCACTTCATCCTTATGAAGTACCCATTAACCCTGTCGCACAATTTATCTCTTCTCTTTTTTCATGAAGGATTCTAAAAACTTAAAAAACCCGACATAAGGTCCCGTACAACAGGGGCTTTAGAATCCGTTATGTTTCTTAGGCATTGTTCACACACTGCGATCCAGCGTTTCTCTAAAACGCGGCGGTTCGGCGAAAAGCTTTCGGAATGTTACATATCGATGGGCGGTTGGGAGAAGAGCCTGGCGGTTGGGCGAAAGGGTTTTGGTACGTATCGACGGGCGTTTCGCCAAACCGCGACGTTTTTCGCCTTCGACAAAACGCTAGCTCCATCGCGGTGGCGTTTTTCGCCAGCGAAATCGATACACATCTACTGCTTTTCGCCCAACCGCCCAACCGCGGCGGTTGGGCGGTTGGACGGTTGGGCGATTCTCCGATCGATGACTATTTATTGCTTTTCTCCCAACCGCCGTTTCGTCAGGGCCTGGCGACTGTGAACAATGCCTTATTGAATAGCTACGTGAGTCGTCTATGAGGATCTCATCTAAGTGACTCCATGAACGGTCGGCGAACGGAGAAAGGAACATATGTGAAACTACTCATTCACTTTTCAAAATATCAAACACTGCATGTTTCAGCTTCCAATTTTCATGTGAAATCTCCTCCATCGCGCCAGTTTCAACGCGACCCATGCAATGACCGCGATGCGACTGCTCGCCCGCTGCCCGGAAATGTTCGTTTGGCATTTAATTCTTCTCTTCATTGCTCATTGCGCAATCTCGCAGACTTTGTATAATACTCTCCCGGCCTAAGACCCGTTCGTACCTTGCGAATGTGAAGCAACCAAAGGAAGAAACAGAAACGCGAATGAGGAAATGCATATGTATCGATCTGAAAATACGAGTTAGGCCGCGTTCATAGCTTGCGACCGTGAATGCTGAAATGCGGAAACTGCAGAAGTGCGGAAATGCAGAAATGACGAAAAGCATTACGTATCGATCTGAAGAAATGCAGAAACGACGAAACTGCAGAAGTGCGGGGCTAATGCCGATTTAGCAGCAACTTCGGCACCGAGCTCATTTTTAAATTGCCTAAGTTACCAAATCCGCTAAAAACTTGTATGTAGGGGTAGTTTAACATCCTGATTACGAATATGACATTCACTCTTGCCGCTGGCGCTAATGGATGACACTACGATTACCTGCGCTCCGCTAAGGCTGAGCCCAAGAGGTAATCGTAGTGTCATCCCTTGGCGCCAGCGCCAAGAATGAGTGTCATAATTGTAATCAGGATGGTAAATAACCCTTGTGTACATATTTTCAGCGGGTTTGGCGACTTAGGTAATTTAAAAATGAGCTCGGTGCCGAAGTTGCTGGAGTCCAAACGGCATTAGCCGAAGAGCGGAACCTGCAGAAATGCCGAAAGTGCGGAAAATCGATACGTATGCATTGCTTTTCGTCATTTCTGCAGATTCCGCATGGCGTGTGCACATTTCTTCTCTTTCCCTTCTCCAATGAAATACTTCTGCACTTACCGGCATTTCTGCAGTCTTCCGCACCGGCCTCACGTTTCGGCATCCTCTTCTGCCGATTCAGCACTTCTCTCACTTTCGGCCATTTCTGCAGACTCCGTGCACTTCTTCCACTTTCGCATCTTCGCCAGATCTCCGCACTTATCTGCACTCTTCCGGCATGTTTCTGCCATTTCCTTCAGATCGTACGCCATCGTCAAACTGTTCGTCATGTTTTCTGCACTTTCCGCACGTCTGCAGTTTCGGCATTCTCATTTCTTCAAGTCGATAAGTATCTATTGCTTTTCTGCAGATTCCGCACTTCTGCACTTTCCCCACTTCTACATTTTCCGCAGTTCTGCATTTCTTCACGAACGCAAGCTATGAATGCAGCCTTAATGACGAACTCAACAGCTGCAGGGTTGACGAATCGTGAAACTAGTCTCGCGATTTCTTCAATTCATCAATTCGCACTTTCGCAAGGTACGTATGAACGTGGCTTAATGAGCACATTTTGTGTTGACAGCTGCTTCTGACCTTTACTATTAGTCTTCCTTCTGTAATGGCATTCCACTCGTCGTATCTCTACCGTCGTCTGTTCTGCAAGCTATTTTTCGTTTCCTGCAGTTCTGTAATAGTGAGTTATTCTTTGTTTTGTTAGGAATCGCTCAGTTCGCTTCAAGAATTGTGGAACTCTGGAAAGATAGAACACCAGAAGTTAGAACTGGGCATCTGCTTAGAGGTGAGTTTGTCAGTTACTATTTGACTGCGATACATTTTATTTTTTTGTGGTGGTCGGATTTCTTTAAGAATCGGAATTGAGCGATACATTCTTCACGATTTTAGATCACACATTTTGGCTAGCAGCAGCTTATGCAGAAGCTATAAGCAGTGCCGTTGATAACTCTCCAACAGCTACTGCTGAGTCTTCTCAAGATTTGTTCCGACTACCAACACAGCAATCAGTGCAGGTGTTCAATCACTTTCGTAGTGTTTCGCTTATCGCATATTTTTCACTTTCAGTCATCTACCTCCTCGCTGAGCAGCTGCAATGTTTCTGCAAAAAAATTTAGGTAAGTTTTTCCTGTGAACGGCTGAGTGTACAGTAGTTTCAAATTGAATGATTTAAGTTCGGGAAGGAGTTTCTCTACTGCTTACGACTCAGATGTCTCGTCATTGAGTCTCAGCAGCGACTGTGTAGATATGAAGGGTTGGTCAGCTGTTTTTTTCTAATCAACTCTGCTGTTTTAGGATAGTTGTATTTTGTCTTAGATCGAAAAAAATAAGTGTACTAGTATGCATAAAAAGCGGCGATACCAGGTGGTCATAACCATCCAGATTGAAATCTATACTGTACGTACGTATTCAGATGCTGATTTCAAATCTGACTTTTAAATCGGCTGGGCAATTCTAGGAAGGGGAATATGAGCATATTTTCCTCTGCGCGACGCGAATGTAAATTCCTTGAGCTCTGCTCCACTGGCGCGACTGTTAGGTGAGCAGGCTCTCAGGTTTAGCGCGAAGATTCGGTTCCTTTGTGTGCGCTCTGTTTTGCTTTTTTATCGGACAGCGCCTGGTGCTCGCAAAACGATTTGAACTGTCGTGATTTTCGAAGGCAAATTTCATTTTGACTTCAAGGCGAAGCCGTCGCGTGCCGCGAGCATTTTTTTTTCGTCGAGAGTGTGATGTTCGTGTTTAGGGATATAAACTACGCTGAAAACCACAAGGCGAAATTAGAAATTTCTATCCTAACTTCGAAAAATGTGGAGATTATTGGTCAAGATAGCGGCAGCCAGTTGTCCAGCCGGCCTGGTACAGTCGGTCCTAGCAGGTTTTCGAAATGACCGATCCCTGTGGTTGATGGGAAAACATTCTAAACTAACATAACTTCGTCCCGAAAATCTTTTAGCAGACTTGGAATCAGCGTCCGAAGGGCATATAGGAGTGTGCATCTAATGCTGAATGGTCTTAGCGGCGCGCTGTTTGTCGACGGGGGGCATTTTGTACTACCATTGCTTCCCTAGTTCCGGTTTACAAATCTCACCCTGGTAAAACTTGTGAACCCTTGTGAAGCTGGTGCAAGATAGTCTAGCCACCATCCTAAAACGTGTTAACTCGAGAGAAATAAGGCTACCTGGCATAGGGCGGGCACATCTCATGGAAAGCAGAATGCCCTCCCGTCGCAAACTGAGTCCTTCTTAACGGGGTTTAATAACAAACTGCGCCTTCTTAACGGGTTGATATCATTTTCTTGCTAATACAGTTTGCCGCCACAAGCAGTGAGTAACCTTTACAGTGTTCACCGGTACAAGGGGCATCCTGGCAGATGACTCGTCATTAGACTGCCAGAACATCCTTCAAGCAGAGGTACTCCTGATTATATCTTTAGATTACTCAGCGTCGAACAGCTAAGTTTTTTTTTCAGTCTACACTCAGAGACGCACTTTACGATTACTGGGTGCTTCCTTCCTTGTGCGAGGTGGCAGTCCGCAGTTGTTTACTACCGCTTTCTGTCAGCGACTACACGAAAATATACATAGAAACGAAAGATCGGAGAGTTGCGATGGCTGGCTCTTCGAGTCCCCGCCTTTCGACGAGCGACAAGGAACCCGCAGACGCGCAACACGCCTGGCGGCCAACGCTACATCTAAGCATGACACGCGCTGCTTGTCTGAACCCTTTCACATTTTGTACCAAGTAAATCGTGTATCGAAATAGCGAGCAGAGCCATGGGAACGAGCGGCGAAAATGGCATTCTTCTACGACCGCGAACCTGCCTGCTCGTACCGAAACAGGATTCATATGCGACGTACGAATCGAATTCAACTTAGTTCTTTAATCACCTCTAAGGTATAGAGGATTGACGTGGTAAATCGAAGCAGCCTCTCAAGAAGTTCCTGAGTCATCTTCAACAAAACGAGTCAGCAGCTCCTCTAATGGGAAAGCGAAGAGAACTACTTCAAAACGAAACGCTGTTTGTTAAATTTCGCTGTTTCATCATGACATCATTTCGAGATACGTACTCGACATTGAATTCAGACTGGTCCTCGCCATCTCTTCGAGCAGTGATCCTCGAACTGATAAACACCCGGAGGCTGACTTGGGAAGCGCCACCTTCGACGTATTACTGGTCCAGTTACAGAGTACCATTGGATTTCATATTCCTTCGTCCGTCAACTAAGAGATATGCTTCAAAAACAAGAATCTATGAAGGTCTTCACATATTGCGGACCGCCCCTCTACGCATGCATTCCGACACTTTGTATTTCATTCCCATCAGTTTTCATCATAAATTTCGTGTACCTCTCTGCCATCGTTTATGAAGATAGAACCTTCGACAACCGACAATTTCTTTAGCAACGTATAATATGGTAGGTAAGCCAACCTAATCGAATAAAACACCTCACAGAATCAAAGTCGTGACACACCATGTGTGTCACGCGGTCCGGAACGTGTTAAAAGAGATTGGTCCCCTGCGCCACAAAGGAATCAGCAGAGAAAAGAATTTCTGCACGTTTACCGCTTTTCGAGTCACTCAAAGAACCGCCAGCCCTGCATGACTAGGTTAGAACTCAAGATGGACCCAATTATCAGGCGGTGTCCACCTTCGTGGATTCCGAATTTTCATAGTGGATGTACGCTATGACTGTGAACGAACACGGCTGCGTCTCCTCCTATGCCTTGAGCGTCCGCAGCGTACCGGGCACCGTTTCGAGCGTACGCCAGTGACTAGGGAAAGTATGCAATTTGATCTAGCGAACACCAGCATATGCCAACGATTAGGCAAGTATGGATATCGTTCTAGTGTACACCAACGTAGGTCAACGTTTTCGGGGCAATTGGAACTTGTGCAAACTGCCAGCGGAAACGCCGCTGACACTGGCATACACTCGCGTACGTTAGACGATAACCATACTTTTACGTTAGACGATAACCATACTTTACTAGTCGCTGGCACTGGCGTACGTTTGATAGCTGCCGTGCGCTGGCGTACGGTGACGCAAAGTCTACTACAGCCTTTGGCTCCTGGAAAGAACTAAATCTTCACTAACTTATCATTGGAATACATATAGTATTTCCGGCTTCAAACAACTCCTCCAGAATGTTGTGAAGAAGTCGACAACTGGCGATTCACTGATGATGCGCTCGCAGAAAAACATGAACCTCAGGACGTGGACCATCTTGAATCAAATGGAGACGTGGCAAAAAACAATGGATGGCAGTAAGTGGGGTCCATTCTCTGTCCTTTTACAAAATAAGCCATGAATTCTGTCAGCGGTGTTTGTTACTTATTACAATGTTCAAATGTCTTTATCTTTGAGTTCTTTTCTTTCTCTTAATCTTTATGTCTTTTTTTTCAGCTAACGTAGTAGAAATTTAATGGATCAGGGGAATTACCAGAAATCCATTTGCCGGTCGCGAAGGGGCCCTGAGGACCACGTTAGTCTGCCTGGGAGGTTAGGTGCAGAAGTGCAGGGCCATCGTACGGCTAGTGCTTAATAGGTATGGAACCTGATTGGATGCATTATTTTTTCACACCCTTTAATCTAAAGGAATCTAGTCCTTTTACTCATTGACCGAGAACACGTTTTACGAGGGCATTTCGCAGTGCTTGACACTAAGCAGATCCTACTGATTCCACATAAGAATGTAGCAAAAAACCTACTGTTCACAGTGATGCCCCTTCTAGCGGAATCAAAGATGAGCCGCAGAAACGAAGGGGTCTTCCTAAAAAATGATTAGCTCCTTTTCATGGATTCAGAAGCTCTCCGACTATAGAGCAAACCTTCTGACTTGGATTTTTTAGAAAGGTTCGCCTGTCACGATATTCAAGAAGCGCTGCTGTCGCACACGTGGTCGAGACCTGGAAAGCGCTTAGGAGAACCTATTCCACCTTTTCAGTGAGTTTTTCTCTTTATATGATTAGCGCACTGGTAAGGTCAAGTTACGCTGACGCACTCGTCAGCCACGGCGGGGCGGAGCATGAAATTCGTTGACTCTTAGTCACTTTCGAAGACTTGTCGCCGAGCATTCCAACAAGTAGCGCCCTACTTGCTTGTGATGAGCATTTCCATATTGTAATATCGTTCATCGTTTTGGACATCGTTTCAAATTAAAGGCAGCCCCGCGCTCAAGTAGTACATGGTCGTCCTTTCTTGCACAGGTAGTTCAGCCCCCAAGCTAGATACTGCCTCACTCTCGCGACTGAGGAGTCGCGAGAGAGAGGCAGTATCTAGCTAGAACCGCTCAAAGTTCTAGTTCTAACGCCTGCTCAGTTGGACCGCCTCACTAGCTAGCTGCCCTCTGACGGAGAGCCGCTCAGTTGTTCCTTGTTGGGACGACAGTCATTATTCGGGACTGCATGTATTTCTTGCTGACGCGCTCTCAGTGGTCGTAACATAATTCTTGCTCTCCTTCATCACATTTTACTTTCAATTGCGGACGCACCGTACAGTCAACAGCAACCATCTCGTACGGTAAAAACGCGTAAAATCAGGAATTGATCCTGCAATTTCTATGGCGACTGACAAAAGCTCGACGCACTTCACTACACTAAACCATGCTCGCTACCGAACCCTAAGTTCGGGCGCCGGCTTTTTAAATGTTTCCTTTTCTTTTCAAGAGTTTTTCTCTATGTTTCGGTTGTTTTTTGTCTTCTTTTCTTCGAATTCGACGGTATCCGCAATTTCCCCACACGAGGCTACTAGGCTACTCGTGTAATAAATAAATAAATAAATAAATATAATAAATAAATAAATAAATATAATATATATATAATATATATATATATATATATATATATATATATATATATATATATGATGTGACAAAGTGATTTGTGAGCCAGGGCTTGCACAGACCGCAGGGAGGTGTGACTGTCAGGTCGCGATTTTGTTTATGGTGTTCTTGAGGGCTCTTGTTTCTTTTTTCCTTCATTGAGGAATTACTTATCAGCTACTGTTTCATAATTGATCAGCAATTATCCTTGACACTTTTATCGCGGGAGCTGTCTTTAAGAGCTTCCCTCAAACCAATTCCCGCGATCAAGTGTTACACGTATTAGGTGCTCAATCATGAACCAGTATCCCATAAGTAACTCTCTAGTAGGGAAAGAGGAGAAAACAGGGAACCCTCTGAATAGAGACCCCATCAGCAGTGGGCTAATTGGAGGAGTTTGTCGGACGTCGGCGAGCCCAAACAGCTTGCGTTTTGCTTGTATCAAACTAACGAGCTTAACGCTTAGGCCGTTTTTATTGTCATGTTTTTGGGAATCCGCGGCCTCCGAGGGATATTGCAGAAGCAGCACAATTGCTCTTGAATTCTAGCCCTCGTCATCATCTTCGGTTCTTATTTTGCAGTAACTAAAATGTTATCCGCATCTGGAAATTGCCTTCTAATTGTATTTCAAAGCGCAATTACAGGACTTGGCAAGTGCCAAGAGGGCCGCACGCGACACACGCCGCGCGGACGGCGGTTAGCATAAAGGGAGTCTGCGCTGCAAGTTGCATTTTGGACGGAGCCTGGACGAATTAGACTTTCCCACGGCCCTGTACCCTAACCCCGTGCAGTTTCCGCGCGCCGAGGAAAACCACAACACTTCGATAGCAGGAGAGTGAGCAGTCCATAACACCTCCAGATCGTGTGTGAGCGTACCATGGTGTCTTTAAGGATAGTAGGGGCAAGAGGAGCGAAGGAAGCACCCGTACGGCACGAAGTGAGTTAGATTCTGCTGACGTGAACCTGAGTTCTATGAAGATCTCGAATGTCCCGTATCTTTCCTTACGTCTATCTATGCGAGCGAGACGAACTCTTGCACCGCTAAGAAGATCATCGTTGCCGCTGTGTGGCGTTGCAAGTGACTCACGTGCCGCGCGACAGTCGCACCGGTGCTTGACCGGTTTACTGCACTGCAGACTACCATGGCCTCAAAGACAGTTCCTCATTAAAGTATCAAGTAAAGCAAAGTAAAGTTGATCGAGCAGATCCCTACCTTGTCTCGGGTAAGATGTCTTTTCGAACACCTCGGCGTCATGGGTCTAGCGTCAGTGGCCACAGGGGGGGGGTGTACTATCACCTCTCCTCTCAACCACTATCCATGCTTCACTGAATGCGCCGTCAACTAGTCTATAGGAAGGCGGTGTTCAATGTGGTCGCTCGGAGATGATTTTAAGTTAGTATCACTCCCATTCGCTCACCGGATGATGCGCACCGGCCCTGCCTCAAGAGGCCAATTTGATTGAAGTGTACCCACTGCTAGCCGGTGGGACCTACCTTTGTCTGGGGAGAAAACAAAGCTTCTTGGCATAGGTAAGACGACCATTCCGACCGATTACTTCATCGATGATATCCTACTAGAACGGGTCACACAACTCAGCCTTGAATCTAGCGATTTCCTTGTTACCTAAGGACCTTAAGCTTTGACAAACACTGTTGCAAAATTGCCTCGAAAGCCATGGCACTTATGTTTAACTTATTCAGAGCATTATTATCTGATGACCCAGCAGTCCTTTGTAGGGCTTTCAAGACTTATATTAGACCCCTGCTGGAATATGGAACAGTGGTCTTCAATCCATATAAAGCTCGAGCTATTAGATTGTTGGAAAGAATTCAGAATACGTTTCCACTAGCAAAAGGCTTTTTCTAAGAATCGCCCCGTGGATTCCAGTATGATAGAATCCCTGACAGCAAAACGCGCAACATCAATCTCAATCTAGAGCCGCTGTCCCTTAGAAGGAGGAAATTTGATTTTATAACACTCTTTAAGATCTTTCATGGCTATTCGGGTATTAGGCCCTGCGCTTTGATGGGAATCCATGAAACCACGACTAGGGGCTCTGTAAGGAAAATCACCATCCCGCGAGCTAGGGGCAGCGTCAGACACCACTTCTTCCTTAATTGAACCATCCAAGATTTTCATAGGATCCTCAAGGTCATCCAACAAACTTACCACCTTCAAAGCCACTTTGGAAAAGTATCTCGCATCCTGATGTTGATCCGCTGTAGAGCTCTAATTTGATCCTCACACTCTGGTTCGTTCACTTTATGTATGCTGGTTCCTTTTATCGTTTTGTGATGCCTCTAATTGTAGTCGTCACTTAGTTGTTTAATTGTGTTATGGGTTCCCGTGTAATAAACAATTACCAATTACAAAGTATCAAGGATAGTCACTCTTCAGTTATGAAACAGTAGCTGATAAGTAATACCCCAAATGATAAAAAAGCAAGAAGAGTCCTCAAGAACACCATAAACAAAATCGCTCCCTGACAGTCACACCGTCCTGCGGTCTCTGTGCAACCGCTGGCTCAAAATCGCTCTTTCGCATTTACCGGTAGTAGATTTCATCCAGTGCGAAGAAAAGAATACGAAAAACAACAAAGAGAACAACGGAAAACTCTCAAAAAAGAAACTTTCACAAACTTGGCGTACGAATTCAGAGTCACGGTAGCGTGCATCTTTTAGTGCGTCCAGCATTTGCACCAAGAAAATTGCATCACTTGTGATCTTTACGCGTTTTACCTTGCGAGATGGGTTGCAGTCGACTGTATGTGCTCCTAACGAATAAAATGTGATAAAGGAGAGCAGAACTTCTTATTGGCACGAGCGTGGTCACAAAAAGGGCATGCAATTCCGGTTAATGCTCGCCGCTCCAACTGGACAACTGAGCGGCCCTCCGTTAGAAAGTATCTAGCATGTGGACGATGTGGGCGGCCCAAAAGAGCGGTGATAGAACTAGAACTTTCAAGCGCGCTCTCGCCTCCTTTCGGCTCGCTGTGGAGTCTGGCGAAATCTGGACAGTCATACATCAGCTAGGCCGGCTGCACCACTTGCACTAGGAGGGACGACCGTGAATTACTCGAGCACGGAGGCTGTCTCTAACCTGTTTTCATTAATTGCCAGGAATTCGCCGGTGATTTCATTGACGACAGTATTCTCATTTAGTTGACAGGTTCCTAAATTTTCAAACACAGACTGAGGTACGTTTCCTTTGTGCATGACAGTCATGGTGACGCACACTGTCCGTGATGCGTGAACGTGAAAATGCGGCCGATGCGAGGATTCTCAGGGAATACTTTATTAATTCTTTCACTTCGCTGCAGCGCGAACCTTCTATACAGTAACATTGCATCAGCCAGTGAACACAGGAATTTAGAGCTTGTGGTTAGAATTATTATCCGAAACAGAGGAGCCACAGGCATTTCAGTGCATCCTTGCTCCAGTCTTATCCTGACCTCTTGACCACTTACAAATAGTCTCCCTAGCTTTTAGTACTACAAACAAGTCAAGGTGACAGCCAACTCTATTTCAGCAACGTAAAAGAAATTCTTCGAATTCTGTGGTGTTCTTGTTCATTTACAGAGTCGAACCTCGAACATGCAACAG